TATCAGCATCAACATAAGATAACAGTGTGGATTATCAGCATGAACATAAAATAAGAGTGTGGATTATCAGCATGAACTTAAAAGAAGAGTGTGGATTATCAGCATGAACATAAAAGAAGAGTGCGGATTATCAGCATGAACATAAAAGAAGAGTGTGGATTATCAGCATGAACATAAAAGAAGAGTGTGGATTATCAGCATGAACATAAAAGAAGAGTGCGGATTATCAGCATGAACATAAAATAACAGTGCGGATTATCAGCATCAACATATAAAAACAGGTAAGATTATCCGCAAATACTAAATAACAGGGCGGATTATCAGCAAAGACTTAAAATATTGGGTAGATTATAAACATAAACTTTTAAAAAAGGTGGATTATAAGCGAAGAGCTGAAACATGGTGAATTGTAAACATGTAAATATAAGCTGAAAACTGGGTGTATTATAAGATTGGACTTAATTACATGGCGTATTATAAGCGAATTCATATAAAAACATTCCGGATTATAAGCGTAGATTAAAAAGAGGACCGATTATAAACATTGATTTAAAAAACAGGGCAGATTATAAGCGTGGCCTTAAAAACAGTAGGGATTATAAGCGTAGACCTACAAAATTAGTGGAATATAAGCATACATTTAAAAACAGGACCGATTATAAGCAAATAATTAAAAACAGCGTGGTTATAAGCGAAAACCGAAAGAGAAAGCGGATTACAAGAATAAGCTTAGAAACGGAATGAAAAATATACTGACAAATAGCGCGAATCAATTACGCGTAAAAATGTTATCACAGTAAAATACTTTTTATTTTGTAATTCCAGGTCAGCTCACAGAGGTGAAATCAAAAGTCGACAGGTAAAAAAAAAGTTATCAATGGGACACAAACAGCAATGGTTAGAAATCAAGAGTTCAGGAGACATAATGAAAGACAAGGTGAACACAGGAGACGAGGAAACAAAAAGAAAACACAAGGTGACCGTAGGAGACAAGGAAACGAAAAGAAAACACAAGGTGACCGTAGGAGACAAAGAAACAAAAAGAAAACACAAGGTTACCGTAGGAGACAAGGAATCAAACAGAAAACACAAGGTGACCGTAGGAGACAAGAAAACAAAAAGAAAACACAAGGTGATCGTAGGAGACAAGGAAACAAAAATGAAAACACAAGGTGACCGTAGGAGACAAGGAAACAAACAGAAAACACAAGGTGACCGTAGGAGACAAGGAAACAAAAAGAAAACACAAGGTGACCGTAGGAGACAAGGAAACAAACAGAAAACACAAGGTGACCGTAGGAGACAAGGAAACAAACAGAAAACACAAGGTGATCGTGGGAGACAAGGAAACAAAAATGAAAACACAAGATGACCGTAGGAGACAAGGAATCAAACAGAAAACACAAGGTGACCGTAGGAGACAAGGAAACAAAAAGAAAACACAAGGTGACCGTAGGAGACAAGGAAACAAAAAGAAAACACAAGGTGACCGTAGTAGACAAGGAATCAAACAGAAAACACAAGGTGACCGTAGGAGACAAGGAAACAAAATTAAAGACAAGGTGACCGTAGGAGACAAGGAAACAAAAAGAAAACACAAGGTGACCGTAGGAGACAAGGAAACGAAAAGAAAACACAAGGTGACCGTAGGAGACAAGGAAACAAAAGTAAAGACAAGGTGACCGTAGGAGACAAGGAAACAAAAGTAAAGACAAGGTGACCGTAGGAGACAAGGAAACAAAAAGAAAACACAAGGTGACCGTAGGAGACAAGGAAACAAAATTAAAGACAAGGTGACCGTAGGAGACAAGGAAACAAACAGAAAACACAAGGTGACCGTAGGAGACAAGGAAACAAAATTAAAGACAAGGTGACCGTAGGAGACAAGGAAACAAAAAAGAAAACACAAGGTGACCGTAGGAGACAAGGAAACGAAAAGAAAACACAAGGTGACTGTAGGAGACAAGGAAACAAAAAGAAAACACAAGGTTACCGTAGGAGACAAGGAAACAAAAAGAAAACACAAGGTGACCGTAGGAGACAAGGAAACAAAATTAAAGACAAGGTGACCGTAGGAGACAAGGAAACAAAAAGAAAACACAAGGTGACCGTAGGAGACAAGGAAACAAAAATGAAAACACAAGGTGACCGTAGGAGACAAGGAAACAAAATCAAAGACAAGGTGACTGTAGGAGACAAGGAAACAAAAAGAAAACACAAGGTGACCGTAGGAGACAAGGAAACAAAAAAGAAAACACAAGGTGACCGTAGGAGACAAGGAAACAAAATTAAAGACAAGGTGACCGTAGGAGACAAGGAAACAAACAGAAAACACAAGGTGACCGTAGGAGACAAGGAAACAAAAAGAAAACACAAGGTGACCGTAGGAGACAAGGAAACAAACAGAAAACACAAGGTGACCGTAGGAGACAAGGAAACAAAAAAGAAAACACAAGGTGACCGTAGGAGACAAGGAAACGAAAAGAAAACACAAGGTGACCGTAGGAGACAAGGAAACGAAAAGAAAACACAAGGTGACCGTAGGAGACAAGGAAACAAAAGTAAAGACAAGGTGACCGTAGGAGACAAGGAAACAAAAAGAAAACACAAGGTGACCGTAGGAGACAAGGAAACAAAAAGAAAACACAAGGTGACCGTAGGAGACAAGGAAACAAAAAAGAAAACACAAGGTGACCGTAGGAGACAAGGAAACAAAATTAAAGACAAGGTGACCGTAGGAGACAAGGAAACAAAAAAGAAAACACAAGGTGACCGTAGGAGACAAGGAAACGAAAACACAAGAAAACACAAGGTGACAAAAAGAAAACACAAGGTGACCGTAGGAGACAAGGAAACAAAAAGAAAACACAAGGTGACCGTAGGAGACAAGGAAACAAAAAGAAAACACAAGGTGACCGTATGAGACAAGGAAACAAAAATGAAAACACAAGGTGACCGTAGGAGACAAGGAAACAAAATTAAAGACAAGGTGACTGTAGGAGACAAGGAAACAAAAAGAAAACACAAGGTGACCGTAGGAGACAAGGAAACAAAATCAAAGACAAGGTGACTGTAGGAGACAAGGAAACAAAAAGAAAACACAAGGTGACCGTAGGAGACAAGGAAACAAAAAAGTGACCGTAGGAGACAAGGAAACAAAATTAAAGACAAGGTGACCGTAGGAGACAAGGAAACAAAAAAGAAAACACAAGGTGACCGTAGGAGACAAGGAAACAAAAAGAAAACACAAGGTGACCGTAGGAGACAAGGAAACAAAAAGAAAACACAAGGTGACCGTAGGAGACAAGGAAACAAAAAGAAAACACAAGGTGACCGTAGGAGACAAGGAAACAAACAGAAAACACAAGGTGACCGTAGGAGACAAGGAAACAAAAAAGAAAACACAAGGTGACCGTAGGAGACAAGGACACTACAGAAAACACAAGGTGACCGTAGGAGACAAGGAAACAAAAAAGAAAACACAAGGTGACCGTAGGAGACAAGGAAACGAAAAGAAAACACAAGGTGACTGTAGGAGACAAGGAAACAAAAAGAAAACACAAGGTTACCGTAGGAGACAAGGAAACAAAAAGAAAACACAAGGTGACCGTAGGAGACAAGGAAACAAAATTAAAGACAAGGTGACTGTAGGAGACAAGGAAACAGAAAGAAAACACAAGGTGACCGTAGGAGACAAGAAAACAAAAATGAAAACACAAGGTGACCGTAGGAGACAAGGAAACAAAATTAAAGACAAGGTGACTGTAGGAGACAAGGAAACAAAAAGAAAACACAAGGTGACCGTAGGAGACAAGGAAACAAAAAAGAAAACACAAGGTGACCGTAGGAGACAAGGAAACAAAAAGAAATCACAAGGTTACCGTAGGAGACAAGGAAACAAAATTAAAGACAAGGTGACCGTAGGAGACAAGGAAACAAACAGAAAACACAAGGTGACCGTAGGAGACAAGGAAACAAAAAGAAAACACAAGGTGACCGTAGGAGACAAGGAAACGAAAAGAAAACACAAGGTGACCGTAGGAGACAAGGAAACAAAATTAAAGACAAGGTGACCGTAGGAGACAAGGAAACAAAAAGAAAACACAAGGTGACCGTAGGAGACAAGGAAACAAAAATGAAAACACAAGGTGACCGTAGGAGACAAGGAAACAAAATTAAAGACAAGGTGACTGTAGGAGACAAGGAAACAAAAAGAAAACACAAGGTGACCGTAGGAGACAAGGAAACAAAAAAGAAAACACAAGGTGACCGTAGGAGACAAGGAAACAAAATTAAAGACAAGGTGACCGTAGGAGACAAGGAAACAAACAGAAAACACAAGGTGACCGTAGGAGACAAGGAAACAAAAAGAAAACACAAGGTGACCGTAGGAGACAAGGAAACAAAAAGAAAACACAAGGTGGCCGTAGGAGACAAGGAAACAGAAAGAAAACACAAGGTGACTGTAGGAGACAAGGAAACAAAAAGAAAACACAAGGTGGCCGTAGGAGACAAGGAAACAGAAAGAAAACACAAGGTGACCGTAGGAGACAAGGAAACAAAAAGAAAAGACAAGATGAACACAGGAGACAACAAAACATAATTGATTTGTTGACAACTTTTCAACGTGTCAAAAATATGTTCTCGGCGATTCTGTTAATTACAACCTGTTTCTAATTCCTAGTCTGATATTACTCCTAGTTTCTGTTTACATTTTGTCGGTTTTGAGTTGTATTATGTATTTTGTTATATGTCGGTAGTTTCTGAATATTTTCATCAATAGAATCCGTTAATGTCCATGCTGAATGTGTGTCCAAAACTACCTTCACTGTTATTTCTGAGTTCACAATCACCTCCCGATATTTCTTTCTGATACAACCTTAAATTCTAATATAAATCCTTAATAGTCCTGCAAATTTTTATTTGAATCTATTAATATAGTAGACAACTGTAGATAAAATAAATCATTTCTTCAATTTTTTCATCTTTTTTTAACTTACCGAAGGCGAGGAGTAGACCAGATCCTAGAGATGGTATCCAGCCCGTTTCGGATTTACTGGTACCAAATCTGTTAATAAGCTCAGAGTAGATGATTCCAAAACCCTGTACCATTCCTAGTGAGATGTAATGTAATCCAAAACTGGCCAAAACCACCAACCATTTATACTGGAAACACATGTCCGAAACCAAGTCAATAATTTGTCACGATGTTACTTTTCCTGCTTATACCAAAAAGCTCTACATCTCATACGGGTTTTCGGACTTCTCGACGTAGATAATGATGATTTCCAATGTATATATTTCCCAATCAAAGTTTTTCTGAACAATCCTTCCTACTTTGAAGTCCGATCTAACCGATTATATATCAACAGGGAAAACTGACGAGTGTCTGTGATGAATATTAACAAGTCTTATCACACGACTTCGGAGGTTTTACAAGGGGAGACTTGTTCTATTGAGATTCCATTGTGATCCTCCTCCAGGTGATCGGGTAGGTGAAATAGGAGTAGTTTATGAGGGATTGTAAAATATGATACCGGAAAAAAGCGTACCTGAAGCCCGCCGAGGCACATTATTGAAGCACACCCTTTTAATCACTCGTGACAGAAAACTATAAATGTAACCCACATGCGTAGGTCCTAAAGACAAGTCAAAAGCCTGTATTTCTCCGTTACACATGTCCGAGAAAAAAATTAAAACAAAAACAACAACAACAACACAAAAACCCAAACAAAACCTGTTCAGGGCTATATTTGTACTTACTACAATTTAAACGTGAAAAGTAAACTCCACCAGTATTGGATTTTACTACAATTGTTGTGGAGCAGAAAATGAAAATTCGTGGGGTTAATCCGTTTATAAATGTGATTTGGTAAATTATTCTAACAAATCTAAGGAATCAAAACAACCAGAAAATAAGAACATTTCAACATAATCATAATCCAAGCTCAAATTCAATAAAACTAGGACAAAATATGAACAAAAGATAGATTTACATGGGGGACTCCTAAAAAATTTTGTGCTCAATCCTTATGTCTTGTTTAAGTTAAAAATTAATGAATAAGGCTGATTTTGCAAAAAGATTTAAATAAATGTTTGAAAGGACTTCAAGTCAAAGTTATATTCAATGTTAATATTTGACATTTGTATTATTTTATATGGTTTAGGCGAATTATAAAAAAAGTTTACTTGCGCACAAAATCTATGCTTGAGGATGAGAATGGTTTCATTAATACGGCCCCAAGTGTTCCGCAACACTAAGCGTTTTTCTGCTTCATCTACAACACTCGCACGGTGAAGCACAAAAAATAGAATATTTCTTAATGACGACCATAAAACATTTTTCTGTTGATATTATGTTTCATTTGTTTATTTCAGATGAGTTTCAAATTGTGTTGCGTATCAGTATTTCCTTATTTTTCACATCACAAAACTGATTCGTGCAGATATGATTGGCAAATGAAGATCAGAAAGAAAGTTAGGGAAGGTAACTCTGACTAGGTACACTAAAAGTGTTTAAGATAACACGCTCTTCAGTAGTGTCAAATTGGCAATTGATAATAAATGTCAGAAAAATAGGGTATACAAGTTTGTTATTGAAATGTCATATTTCTAATCTCACTTTATAAAAGTCTGCGAACCCGAGGAGCTAAGACACTTTTGCGATTAGAGGAAGTACATGTAATTAGTAAAATTAAAGAGAAATTTATTAAACATGTAAAATGTTGGTGAATTTGTGAATGGAACTATACCGTACCTCAGTAATGATTGGTATCGTGACCCGTGCGATCAGTAATATTGATAATTATAAACTCCACCACATCACTACGATATCACGGATGTTGAGAACGCAAGTCAATATTCATCTTCAAAGTTCTCGGTAGATCTTGCATTATTGAATAATTTTAATTCTATTTCTGGCATTCAATGTCAGATACGGACGGTGATGAGAGAGGATGTCAAATGTATCTAGGCACAATATATACATCGTTTCATTCAACACCAACACAATATTTTAAAATAATCTATCTTTTTACTTATTACGCATTAACAAAGGTAATTGTATTGCAGGGTGTCTTTGTAGAAGATGATTGCTTCCTCACTGATCAACATGCGGGAGTCCCGTCGCAGGCCATCCAGTGAAATGATGATAACTGGTAACTTGTGTGTCCTTATCATGTAACATAATATAATACTATAACCCATGTATGAAGAAAATAAGGTAAGCCTCGATTTCGTATATGACTTTTGCACTTAAATTTGTTTACGGAGAACGTGTGCGCGGTCACGTAGACCTCTTGTATTGGTTACACGTGAGGGTATTGAAGCGGCCATGGTTCCAGTAACAGTATCTTATTTCAATGAAACTCAATCTCCTACTATACCCTCCTTCGAATCCGACATACCACACATACTGAACGTCTTCATATATCACAGTTGTTTATAGATAAATGCACGTACCATGACAGATAAATGTACCACCCTAAAGACAGGGAGTTATCTTCTAACTGGGTATCACGTGACAGGGTACACAGCGTAGGAATTCATATTGTTATATTCCTATTGAAAATCATTCACACCAGATATAAAACTCATTGGAGCAAATATGAGGAGTTAACGACACTATCTTAGGATCGATCTCAATTTTGATAAACATTTTAAACTTTTACAGCGCTGTCCATGTAACAAACCATGTTACCAAACAAACAAACAAACAAACAAACAAAAAAACAAAAACAAACAGTGACACAGTTTTTTTTTGTTACACAGCCTTTGACAGTATAAACGAAGTGCTAAATCAACTCTAATGGAGTCCGGAAAAGTAACACTCTTGTGTAAAAATAGCTGATGCTAGTATCCTCTACCCAATACTCCTAACCACTACCCTACCCTCTACCATATACTCCTAACATCTACCCCCTACCCTCTACCCTATACTCCTACCCTCTACCCTATACTCCAATCCTCTACCCTCTATCCTATACTCCTACCCTCTACCCTATACTCCTAACCTCTACCCCTATCCTCTACCATATACTCATACCCTCTACCCTCTATCCTATACTCCAATCCTCTACCCTATACTCCTACCCTCTACCCTATACTCCTACCCTCTACCCCTATCCTCTACCATATACTCCTACCCTCTACCCTATACTCCTACCCTCTACCCTATACTCCTAACCTCTACCCTCTATCCTATACTCCAATCCTCTACCCTATACTCCTACCCTCTACCCTATACTCCTACCCTCTACCCTATACTCCTACCCCTACCCCTATCCTCTACCATATACTCCTAACCTCTACCCTATACTCCTACCCTCTACCCTATACTACTACCCTCTACCCCTATCCTCTACCATATACTCCTAACCTCTACCCTATACTCCTACCCTCTACCCTATACTCCAACCCTCTACCCTATACTCCTAACCTCTACCCTCTATCCTATACTCCAATCCTCTACCCTATACTCCTAACCTCTACCCCTATCCTCTACCATATACTCATACCCTCTACCCTCTATCCTATACTCCAACTCTCTACCATATACTCCTAACCTCTACTCCTATCCTCTACCATATACTCCTACCCTCTACCCTCTACCCTATACTCCTAACCTCTACCCCTATCCTCTACCATATACTCCTACCCTCTATCCTATACTTCAACTCTCTACCATATACTCCTAACCTCTACTCCTATCCTCTACCATATACTCCTACCCTCTACCCTATACTCCTAACCTCTACCCCTATCCTCTACCATATACTCCTACCCTCTATCCTATACTCCAATCCTCTACCCTATACTCCTACCCTCTACCCTATACTCCTACCCTCTACCCCTTTCCTCTACAATATACTCCTAACCTCTACCCTCTACCCTATACTCCTACCCTCTACCCTATGCTCCTAACCTCTACCCCCTACCCTCTACCATATACTCCTACCCTTTATCCCATACCCTCTACCTTCTACCCTATACTCCTAACCTCTACCCCCTACCCTCTACCCTATACTCCTACCCTTTATCCCCTACCCTCTACATTCTACCATGTACTCCTAACCTCTACCCCCTACCCTCTACCCTATACTCCTAACCTCTACCCTATACTCCTACCCTCTACCATATACTCCTAACCTCTACCCCTACCATCTACCATATACTCCTAACCTCTACCCCCTACCCTCTACCCTATACTCCTACACTCTACCCACTACCCTCTACCTTCTACCATGTACTCCTAACCTCTACCCCCTACCCTCTACCCTATACTCCTAACCTCTACCCTATACTCCTACCCTCTACCATATACTCCTAACCTCTACCCCTACCATCTACCATATACTCCTAACCTCTACCCCCTACCCTCTACCCTATACTCCTACACTCTACCCACTACCCTCTACCTTCTACCATGTACTCCTAACCTCTACCCCCTACCCTCTACCCTATACTCCTAACCTCTACCCCCTATCCTCTACCCTATACTCCTACCCTCTATCCTCTATCCTCTACCCTATACTCATACCCTCTACCCTCTATCCTCTACCCTATACGCCTACCCTCTATCCTCTATCCTCTACCCTATACTCATACCCTCTACCCTCTATCCTCTACCCTATACGCCTACCCTCTACCCACTACCCTCTGCCGTATACTCCTAACCTCTATCCCTTACCTTATACTCTTACCCTCTACCCTTTACCCCTACCCTCTCCCCTATAGCCCATACACTCTACCTTTACCCTCTACCCTATAGCCCCTACCCTCTACCCTATAGCCCCTACCCTCTACCCTATACCCCTACCCTCTACCCTACCCTCTACTCTTACCCTCTACCTTATACCCCTTCCCTCTACCCTTTGCCCCTACCCTCTCCCCTATAGCCCCTACCCTCTACCCTATAGCCCCTACCCTCTACCCTATACCCCTACCCTCTCCCCTATAGCCCATACACTCTACCTTATACCTTCTACCATATAGCCCCTACCCTCTACCCTATACTCCTAACCTCAACCCATAGCCCCTACCCTCTACCCTATACCCCTACCATACACCCTATAGCCCCTACCCTCTACCCTATACTCCTAACCTCAACCCCC